AAGAGCTGGCATCTGACGAGTAGGACTTCTAAAAATCTGACAGAGAGCCTTCGAACAAACTCCAAGTCATTAAGCACGTGCGACATGTCCATCAAGCCTAAGCCTCAGATGCGGCGACTTGCGCTCTGTATTGGGTCTAGTGCACTGTTGAAGTTTCTTCCTGCTGCTACTAAGGTGGGGGTTGGCGTCCGTTCCTCTCCGTCTTGTGTTATGTGTGTGGTGTTACACCAAAACAAATCCGAGATTCTACCCATCCTGGTTTCAATCAATGTGTGTGTGTGTGTGTGTGCGCGTGCACTCGTGCGTGCGTGCGTGGGTGATTGTGGGTGAAGTGGGTGTACGGGTGCGTTGCTGTGCGGCTGTGCGGGTGGGTGGGTATAAGGGTCTGTGGGCGCGCGGGCGCGGGTGACGGTGTGCGCCTCGCTACCAATGTAGGATGATTGCATGGAGGTACAAAGCAAACCAAGGCACCTCCTGCCCGCTTATCCGCATTGTTTTTACGATGTCTGCCATTTCGTCAATGTCCCAACCCTCCTGTCAGGGAAAGGACTTTGGAACATCGGCCAACGAGTCTTTACCCACTGGGAGGAGATCTCATCAAAGAGCCGCCTGCAAAATGTCTTCCTCCTGGAGCTGCAGAGACTCGTCGTGGCCTGCTGTTCGCGAAAAACCAATAATGATGCCATACGGGACTCTTGTATCACTGGTAACCATGTCTCACCAGTATTCACCAGTGATCAATGATGTAACACCAACGCTCGCCTTTTTCATACAAGCCAACCTCTGACTGACGGTTCAGCGGACCAAGCCGCAAGCCTTCCAATTGTTGAGTAGCCGAGGGCAAAGCGGACGCCTCCTGACACGTCAAATGCGGTAAAATCCGCAATTTTGTGCTGCAATTGTGTGCTGACTACAAGTCACACGGTTCAGCATCCAACAACGGTCTAGAAGTTACAAGGTGCCACTTTGCTTTCCTACTGACTGGACCTCAACGGTCCGAGGCATGGCGGTGCTTGAGATCCTGATGTCTGTGGCCCGGGCATCTGCTCTACGCACCCTGTACTATCCGGACAGGCACCGGCAGCCCTGAGGGACATAATAGAGACAGGCGGCAACCACCAGCTACTGTTGACATGCGGCGTGGGGAACGACAAGGTCCAACGCTGACCGCCCCGTTGCGTTCCCCTCCAGTACGGAGCGGTGCTTCAAGGTGTCTTGGCTTCGTTCAGCTGGAAGGAGGAGTCAGGATGAGCCAAGGAGGTGTCTGCGGGATGCACGACGAGCATGGCTGCCACATTGCCGTAGTTTGGCAGGGACTTTCATACCCCAACTTTCCTGCCTTGATCGTGCTTGGCTCAGACGGTTCAGAATAGTTGACGATGTTGAGGGTGTGGGTAGAATAAGGTCTGAAGTCACAGGCTTCAGTCTGATTCAGTTTCTAGCGTCATGACGATGTCGGAGACGGTCTGGAAAGCAGACAGTCTCGGCAACACGAGAAGCTGTCACTCCCACTCCAAAGCAACCACATAATCGCATCCCTGGACCACGAACATCTTCCTTGCTGCCTTACTGTCATTGGCAAAGTCCTTCGGAGCTTTTCCTTCAGGCCATCGGGAAAAAAGGAACCCATCAAGCCTGGCGGAAACTCGTGCCGATGATTATCTCGATTGCTGCTCTCTGGCTAGGAATCTATGCAAATAGAAAGCGCGAGCACTTGCCTCTTCTTCACTCGAGTTTTTGCTAGTCTGGATCTTTCCTGCAGCACCACGTGAGCATACAATCGGAGACACAGATTTGGAGTCGAGTCATCATAAAGCCCGGGGCCCGTGGTATGCCAGGTGGTGCTACAATGCCCCGCGAGTACTCGCATGCGTGCTGCTTTTCGGTGACTTTCATGTGTTGCTTGTCTGCAAGAGTTGGACCTTTGCTCCATAAATAGACTGCCCGCCTGTGGAACATCCTCAAACAGTTGTCGGTCTTCTAGACCTCGATCAAGAGAAGGATTTTTGAGGAAGGTGTTGCGAGGTCTTAAAGACAGCCCGCACGGCTCTTGCGTCGAATTGGCAACTGCACTGCCTTCGCCGTCCTCTCCCTCGCTGTTGACACTTTCTTCCTCATCCTTTTCCTGATCGCCCAAGACGAAGCGTGTACCACACTTCAACAGCGGCCTGTCGACACCTTCCAGGTCATGCCCGTTCCGCTGCCTCCTGCATCCCATCCGCAAGCGATTCCTTTTCGACCTCTGCAATCGCACCTGGGATACATGGCCAAAAAATCTGAGAGAGCCTGCCATGTGAGCCCTGCACCGTGAGATCGCCAAAAGTTCCGCACTGTCGGCCTGCTCGCCCAAGATCGCCCAAGACTTCTCCAAGACGGGGCAGGAAACTCAAATCCTTCGGCCTCATAGCCGGTGTCTTTGTCGTGGCAAACTCGGCCGAGCTTTGGCGACCTGAGTGATGACGTGTTGCCGTGGCCCCTGCACGTGCATGCCGGCGATCTCTCGGGTTACTGCCGGGCTTCACCTTCTTTCTAACGCCGACCTGAGCACAGGCTGATCCCCAACTTGGCGACAGTTTTGGGCGCTTGAGACAAGGGCACATCTGCAGCATACCTGCCGTCGCGCGACTCTGCCCTAAACTCAGAAAATCTCACAAGTACTCCTCCATTACTTGATGTAAATTTCTTAGGACCCGTCAACAGTGTGCAATCGGCTACTGATCGGGCCTGGTCGGGTCACATTGTGCTTGCTACGTATCATTTGTTGACAGGTCCATGTGAAAGCAATCGGACGATGTGCTATTTAGGCAGAGTACTGCTACCGACCTCAAGGTCCGGTATCATTATGATGCACGCCTGCATGGTGGCACTTGTTTTACTCTCTTAGCCAGTTCTCAACTATTTCGCGACATTCCACGGTAAGACTGACCAGGTCATGGCCTGAGCAAGCGTCTGCATGAAGGACTTCTTCGGAGCATCCTAACAGTTTATGTCTCGACGTGCCGCCACCACGGAGCTGCCAGGCTCGAGGGGCCTGGAAGACGATCGTGAGCGAGCCGTCCTTGTCTGGCCTCCTGAGGCTGTGCAGACTTGACGGCTTGTGATCGCTCTGAGAGCTGAAGCCAGCCGTAGCCCACATGTGCATGACAGCACTTTGCCCTGCTTCATCCTTGTAAAATAACACCGTATCAAATTCCTTAAACCACTAATCTTGATGTTAATACAGCTTTAGTGCGGTGCCTCATTTTGGCTCGTGGCTGGATTGTGCTGGGCTGTAGTACAACTTAAGGACTGGAACTGCCTCGCTCTGAGTTTTGGCTACTGCCTGGATTTTGCCAGAATTCTGGCGTTATAGTTGTGTTTTTTGTCACCGTTTTCCACAGAAAACACTTGAAAAGCCAAGCACGGACATGCCGAGACTAAACAGTGAGGCGTGGGGTCATTGCACAACCCTACCTGGAAGCTTCTGTCGTCCGACAATCCCTGATAAGTCCACTTACTCAGCTGCTTCGGGCAGCTCGTTCACATGATGGACCAAGCGGTCCCAAGCATTCAATGGCATGGAATGATGCAGATTGATGCAGCACGTAGGCTCAACCCACGGAACTAAGGCCCCAGCAAAGAGCGCCTTAGCTCTGAGCGCACCGGGCTGTGCATAAACCGCTTTCTATGCTGGTCAGTCTGATACCGGGCAAGATGCTCTATGTGCTCGTAATCATCTTCGGTCAGCTCCGTTCGCCAGTCCATTTTTTGCTTGTTCACCTTGAGTGCTTGAAGGGTGACAGAGAGCCTTGCTGCCATCGAGCGGCTCCCATGCCTTGGAGACCACGTCCCCCAGCAAGACGTTCTTCTGTACGGCGGGGCCGGTTCCCAGAATTTTCTTCACGAAAACCTCCCGCGTCAAGTCAGGCTGGCTTCGTTGCTTCACGTGTGCTCCTGCCGCTTATGGCGAAGGTTGAATGCTTTGAGGACACGGGGCGGAAGTTACAGTCGTCTGCCGACATTATACGGAATCACCGCATTCAATTGTAGGCAGAGTCGAGTTGTGCTGTCCCATGGAGGTTTGTTGCTGTTTTTGTGAACAAAGGCACTCCGTACTGACCGTTGGTCCTGGTTCTCACGACAATGAACTTTTTTCATACGGACTGTTGGCGTGGATGCAGGCTTTTGCTCAAGGTACTTGAGCGTGATGAAGCGGGAAAGCATGCTGGGAATAAATGCCGGATGGGAGCGAACACGAACAAGAGCGAACCCAGAGCAACTATAAGATCACTTGGCCAAAGAAGCAACGCACGTGATGCCACTCACATAGACGAACCAGCTGTTACTAGTACAATGCATACAAAGACAAATAAACACATTAATTGTAGGTACGGAGGGCAGGTGCAACTACCAACATTAAGTGCTGCTCAATACCAAAACATTCCCCAAACAAACGATGACAGCACCGGCGACATAAGCAGCCACAACAAAAAGAAACATGAAACACCATGACTAGCATTTAATAACACAAGGAACATACATCTACGGTTTTTTGTACAAGCATTCGAGAAGCATTCCAGGGGCAATGGAAAAGCAATGCTCCGAGTCGTTGGAAAAACACTCTCAAACACAACAAAATAAGCTTCCTGCATTGCGTCCTGCGGCTCACGCTTCGTATCGAATGCTGTGACACAATTTCAATTGGATGGCTTTTTACGGAATTGCAAACAAAGGCGAGGCGAGACATCACAGGTAAGCGCGCTGTCATTCACGCCCGCATTGGCTTCAGGCCCCCACAAAGAAATTGGTATGAGCGCATCTTTGTCAAGTTGCTGAGGCTTCGTTTGGCTTCCGCTCGCATGCGATGCAGCTCCGTGTCGTGGGATAGACTCTTGGACCGGATTCTTGTCCCACGGCCCCAATGACCCGCAGGTCCCACCAGGAAGGCTGCAGCCATCTTCCTGCTCAACCCGTCATTGTATCAGCCATGAAGCAGATTACTTGGTCTGCGGTATGCGCGCCTTGCGCGGCCACCGGCCAGCAAGCGCTTGAAGTTCTGCACAGCAATTTACAGGACGTTACGTGGGGCCTGACGGACCCAGAGGAGGGTGCCAACAGTGTTGAGATTGAAAACTAGTTTGGGGCATTACAATCGTGTCACATCTGAACATATCTGAACGATGTGCGCTGAAAGATGCATCGACATGCACATAAACTTTTGCTAGAGTTTCGGAGGCGTAAGAACCAGTCAAAGCCGCAGTTGAGGGGCCCAAAACCTTCAAAGCTGCAGCAACCACAGGAACGTAGGACCGCAGACTGCAGGGTCTGCGGCCTGAGAGAGGAAGGATTGATAAAACAAACCAATGCACCTGTCTCCAGCTTGTCTTGCATGCTGGCACCAAATCTGTAGCCTGGGCCCTGCTGTGACCCAGGACGACAATGAGTCGGTGTCAAAGAACATGATCCCCCATGCGTGCACCCCACTTTACAACTACTGCTTTCTTCTCCAGCCAGGAGCATGCAAGCACTCACGTGTTCAACGCTGCTGTAGGGTGTTCAGGTTCCCGTCATTCAGCTGGTTTCTTCAGGTTTAAGGTTCAGGGCGTCGAAGTTAGGGTCGTAGGATCCTGCCAGACGACAAAGATTAACAAAAACATGCGATTAGGCAGCCTTAGGGATGCTTGAGATCGTGGTAGTTTGGGGCTACGGTCGGGTTGAGGCCCCATAAGACACTTTAAGGGGCCTCGAGAAACTGGCAAAGTCCTAGGAAGCTAGATGGGTTTGTTGCAAAGACACCGCCCCTCAAAATCGGCGCATGTCGGGCCTGTTTGGACCTTTGGAAGGAAAGACAGGCTCACAGACGCACAAACACACACAGGCAGACAGGCTTCAAAGTGGTCGTTCTGAGGATCGGCAGTTGTAAAGTGGTGATTCTCCACCGAACACAGTGTCTGTGGTTGTAAAGTGGGGATTCTGGTTGCAAAGCGGGTAAATCTCCCCCACCCAACCTCACTCGAAACATCCTCAACACACAAGAATCAGAAAGTGCAAAGTCATAAAAAATAGCAAATCAGAAAAGCAACACCCGAGGAAAGGGCTACGATTTAAGCCAGAAGCCCTGGGAAACGTGGTGGCTGGGCAGCGTGGTCCGAGTACTTGCACACTCATGGAAAACGACCCGAGCATGGTTTCGAGACTGCCAGCACTGTCTGGCTGTTTGGTTCTCCGCCCGTCCTTCCAAGCATTCATAGCGGCGCGTGTGTGTGTGTGTCTACATTTTATACAGATGCGTGTGTGTGTGTGTGTGCGTGTTTAGTTATTTAGTCATATTGTTCGCAGTTCCGCAGGTAGTAGTAGGGAGTGGTGACGGTAGTAACAGTAGCAGTAGCAGCATGTAGTAGCAGTAGCAGCAGTAGCAGTAGCAGCAGCAGTAGGAGCAGCAGCAGCAGCAGCAGTAGCAACGGCAGTAGCAGTTGCGGTCGCAACAGCATCCAAAGAATGAGTGGTGGTAGTGGTTGTTGGTGGTGGTGGTGGTGGTGGGGGTTGTGGTGGTGGTGGTGGTGGTGGTGGTGGTGGTGGTGGTGCCGGTGGTGGTGGGAGCAATGGTAGTGGTAGTAGTCGCAGTAGTAGTTGTGGTAGTGGTCGTAGTAGCAGCAGTTGCAGCAGCAGCAGCAGTAGCAGCAGCAGGAGCAGGTTGGAGCAGGAGCAGTGTAGTAGTAGTAGTAGTAGTAGTAGTAGTAGTAGTAGTAGTAGTAGTAGTAGTAGTAGTAGGAGCGGGAGCGGGAGCAGGAGCAGGAGTAGTAGTAGTAGTACTACTACTACTACTACTGCTACTACTACCACTACGACTACGACTACGACTACGACTACTACTACTACTACTGCTGCTACTTCTACTACTAGTACTACTACTGCTAGCAGTGCTGCCACAAGTCGGCTAAATAGACGAGTCTAGTCTAGAAAAGCCGTACTTTCGCGGCACCCTCGCAGAACTTTCGCGAAGACTCCACGGCCTTACTCACATAAATCATGGCTCAGGGAGCTGAGGTTACCTAACCACCAGCTGCACCATGTACTACTTGTGTTTGTGGATGCTTTAGAGCATTTCAGGCAGACACTAATGTTTTGTTGAACGCTACATGATGTTTAGATACTGTCCTGTTCTTGTTTCTTCTTTGCGGGAAGGTCTTGCTAACGATTTTGAACCCGGCCCTTTGCTGGAACAGTGATAAATGGAAGCATTTCTCATAGTTCATACATAAGCTCATAAGTTTAAACCTTAACGAAGGAGTTCTCCTTTTCTTGCTGGTAGTGGGTTCGAGGCTCTCTAGCTTTTTTCTCAATGTTGAGACACATAGAGTCCTCAATTTGTAGGCCAGCAAAAAATGATCAGATCCACTATTTCATATTGCACGACAAACGGCTGCAGCTTCCGGCACTCACCTGCTTGCATCGAACAAAATCATAAGTCTGTTTAAGATGAGCTTTTCAAGATGTAAGTCAACCGATTTAACTTAGCTGCTTTCCCTAAGAATAAAAAGAAATGGAAGTGTTTCCAGGTTTGCCATGAGGCTATAGAAGTGTGTAGCTGTTTCATGTTGTATTTAAGGATGGCAAGTAGTGTGGTGCAATGGAGCTCTATTATGTGCTGAACCAGGATCCTCTTGCATCTTATCAAGAGAAAACAGCGAATATGTTTAACATAGGAAGTAGTCTGAATCTCACCTGAAGCAGACAGAGGCAGGCAGATTGCTTCCACATCTTTTATCAAGACCAAACGAAAGCTTTCTGTTTCTTTCCGTTTAATTCAACAGACTGATAAAGAAAAAGTATGTCTTGGTCTTGCTGCTAATAAGCGGAAAATCACCTTGCTATGTTTGCTTTCCGCCAAAGGAGTTCTCTTCTCTCTTACGGTATGAAGATGTATGAAGAGAAGAGCAGCCATGTCTGTTCAAGGTGTAAGACCTGAACAGATCGACAGCTACAATGTTTCATTGCGCTGAAGACACGGTGGAGCCATTTTTCACGACATGCAGAAATACAGGTGTGCTCTCATTCTTCTTCGAGGGATGGAAAAGAAACATGTTTTTTGGTCATTGACGGAGTGTGTGAGTACTTTTGTTTCTGGCCACTGATGAAGATGAAGAGAAGAAATTTTACTATGCTAATTCGTGATGAATGAAGACTTCTCACTGCGAGAAGAGCTCTCTTGATTATCAATGACAAAGAAAACCACTGATATCCAGAAGCGGAGGAGCTGTCTGATGTTTCCCTTACTTGAGAGCGGCTGGTTCCCTGCACTATGCATAAGCAACCGGTAGGCAGGCAACGCGGAGTGGCAAACAGAATCCGTTGGGGCATTCAAGTGGTTGTGACCTGACACCACTCACGTAAATAAGTATCGGTATAGGTGAGGTGGGGAAACCACTTGCTTGCCGATAGTTTCTGCTTGGGAGACGACAGACAGAGACAGAAGATAGGCGATGATCAGTCGGCAAAAGGCTGGTATGAAACATGGGGAGTGTGACCATATGTATGTGTATACTTATACATGTATACTTATACATGTATATATATATATATATGTATCACATATATATATATATATTTATATCCATACAATTCCATGCATACATTCGCACATGTACAAAACATACATGTATATACATTATGTGTGTGCGCGCGTTCGTCTAAATATTATGAGCAATGCACTGCCCGGCCTGATTCTCGCCTTGGCGCTCGAGCTCCAGATCATCCTGCGAAAGGTTTGCGGGCTCGTGGTGGTCGTGCGGCATCATCCAGAATGCCTCCCTTCCGCTGAGACCAGCAGATCACACGAAAACCAGCAGTTGAACAGCACGGGACATAACTCTCGAAGTCCCATCTGGATGTTTTTGCAGTTGGGTTTCGGGCTCCAACTCTATGCAACGATGGGCGAGCGATACCGACGAGTCGATGTGGGGACGGACAGACACGGCACACCGGGGCGACGTCAGGGAGACGAAGCGGTGTATCAGTGCTGTTGTGGAGTGGGGGCACCGCTGGCGGGGCGATGTCTGGGAGCGCTCGACGCGTTTTCTCCTAAGGTACAAGTTGCCATGTCCTGCAACCGGCTAGTCCCCCGTGAAGCTGTTGCAGCCATCTACTACATACAGGCATGTAGCTTGGCTGCAGAAAGATTGAAGGGAAATGGTGAAGGACAAGGACGCCACCAAGCGTGTCGGCATTGGTGTCCTGGAGCTCCTTCTTGCTGCCGTACCTGACCTCCTTGATTCCCCTGCCACAAAGCATGAGTGAGCAAATCCTGCACAGCAATGCTAATTGAAGCCATGCTAAGAGCTTTGCGTCTTGGCGCTGGCAGCACGCTTTGCTGCCAAAATGTCACTCTCGCCAACCTCTGCCCAATTGCCACCATGAAGTGCAGGCAACAACGATGCCAGACGGCAGGCTGTCATGGCCGTAGCGCTCATCGACTTGATTCTCAGAACCAGACCGGATTATGTGACTGCTGTCTGACTACTGCCTAAGCCTGAGTAAGCGGCCAAGTCCGCAAACGTGTTGAGCTGGGTGGCTAGGAACATGTTCGTGCTGATGAATCGGAAGATGACCTAAGGCCAGCAAGATGTCGTGTGGAGTGTGGAACTCACGAGGTCCTGCTTCCTTTGACTTGCTTCCGCCGTCGTAGTCTTTTCGGAACTCCCGTTTTGGGCCCAAGGCCAAGATCTCCGCAAGCTCAAACCAAAGGTAAAGACAGAGTGCTCAGAAATTAGGAATCCGTTCCCATGACCATCATTGGGAAGCTGGAGCGAAACGAGCTGGTGCTTCGAGCGGTTGGTGAGTGTCGATGCTGTCCGGCTTCGCGCCAAAGGCCCCGAGCAATTTTTATCGGGCGAAAGTTCAGTGGTAGGCAGTGCAGAAACGCTACAGCGAAATTCGTCGTTGAGGTCAGCAACTCTCGAGGACAACCCTGTTCGCTTGCTCCACATCAGGAAATATGAAAGACTTGTTTCCGCGGACAGAGCGGGAACCGCTGCGATGCGATAGTGAGGGTCAGATTCCGAAGCCTGACTGCGTTGAGGCGCTTGCGATGAAAGCGACGAAGAAGAGGATCGCAAGGATGGGACTTGCCTGTCCCAGGCACGCAACAAAGAGTCCGACGGAGGCAGGCTCGGCACCTGCAAGAGAGGATCCAGGTCTGCCCAACCACAAACCCAGTACAGCAGAGAGCCCATGGTCGCAATGGGGCTGCTGAATCCCTCCACCTTGCAGCAGACGCAGCAGAAAAAGTCCACAACTACAGTAACTACAGCAAACGCTGCATGCTGGATGGTCTGAGCTTGATGCCATCGTACCGAAGATTACCTGAATTCTGGAAAGGGAGCGCAGAATGCTACAGTCACAGAGCATCGGCGGCCGACCGTCATTGCCAAGGCAAAGCCCACCATCTGTAGCTTGATGACGATGAGAAAGTACATGTTCCGGCTCTGAGCGCAGGTGTCCCAGATCAAACTCGTTCTCTAAACATCTCCGCATGGCATGGCGATTTTTTACCTACGATAGGGTCATCCCTATCTCATGCCATTTTAGCCAAAAAGACGCCGTCCTTGACAAATCTGAGATCCCAGCCCTGCCCTTGGCCAAGGTCTGGCTGAACTTGCTGACCTTCCCAAACCTGTGACAGAGGCCCTCTTCTGAAAGAAGGCCATCTTCTCCTCGTGACAAGCCAAAACAGCCTGTTGACGATTTTGATGGTCTTGATGGCAATGAAGAGGCTATTCAGCGCAGCAAACCTGATTCAAGCGGGACAGCTCTGCTAAGCTTGAGTACGTCCTATCTACTCATTTTCTGTTTTGAACACTGCTCTGATCTTTGCACATAGCTGTTGTAAACTATGCAGCATATGTCACATCACATAGCACAGCGATGCACAGCGCAAGCTCTGAGCTCCAGCTTCACGAGTCGCCTTTGAAACTAGGACCCGAACTGCAGGAAAATGCTGTAAATGCCTTGGACCCAAAGGTTCACACTTAAACCTTCAAGACTTCAATGGTCCAAGGGAGAGTCACAAGCACTTGGGCCCTGCACCCTGTACAAGCTCGAACTCTTTGAAGAAGTACCAATCATCCTGCTCGGGAATGCTTTGGACAATTCGTGCAATCGTCTGCGCATTCTGACTACACGTCCTCCAGGTATCGAACAGGGTTGACCGCCTGGGGCATGGCAAAAGCTTGCGCGGCGTCATTTGGCACCACATACCTGCCAGGCATCTAAAATGAGTTCAACCGTCTTGAACAAGGGGCTGTTCTTCGCAGGTTTGCCGGCAAGATGCTTGGCCAGGTCATCCACGCTGAACTGGTACTGGGCTCTGAACGTGTTCATCACAAAGACGATGAATGTCCTTCCGAAGCGGGATTTGAAATTTTCGTTGCAGCCTCGTACCAACTCTTCACAAGCTGTTTTGAATAATGTCTCTAATCTAAGCGTTTGGCACGAATGTTGCAGAAGAGATGAGGAGGGACAGCAAATCCACCACCTGGACGAAGTTTCTTCAAAGTTCGTGACATGTGCAACTACGGGCCCGATGAGTCCAGGCCACGTTCCATGTCTGGGACAGGAAATCTGCAAGAAATCTGCTGAAAGGCTTCTGCATGTAGCGGGACCTGACATGCCCGCACATCGAGCTGACAAAATCAAAACGGACCCGCCTTTTGAACTCATGGTGGATGGTCCTGCACATTTCCACGATGTGATACCTTTGGTCCGTCCAAAGTCTAAGCCATTGGATTTCTGTAGTTTGCATTGAGTGTGTGTTTGGGCGGATGTATTATATGTGCGTTTGCCACCCCGGACGTGGAGGCAGGCAGGGAGTCACTCTCATTGCTGCAGGGATCGCGAAGCCCACTCAAACAACACGGTCGCAACGACTTTCGGCGGGCAGCACAGTCATGAAGGATGGCTTTTTCAGGGGCACAAGGCTTTGAGTAAAATAAGAATCTTCGGGGTCGGGGCTGCTACCATTACGACTAGCAGTCTCACTACCAGCACCAATACAACTACGCCCTTACCACTACCGACCACTACCACGACCGCGGGTGAACTCTCAGCTATGCATGTACGTCATGTTCACTCTCCGCTATGCACGTACGTCATGCATTATGGGTCAATTCCAGACTCTGGCCATTATCAAGCTGGTCGTGATACAGGAAGACTGGCTCTGGAATTGCGATGACAATGGGTCAGCTTGCCTTCCACGGCTCGACAGTATCCTTTGCGGCTAATACTCTCCATCAGAGCTGCCGCATGGGGCACCACCCATGTGGATTCATAGTTTGATGGCAACAGTGCTGCTCTTCGGATCTCTTCGGCTGACAAGCGCAACTTCGTCATCGGCCGCACCGATTACAGATAAGTCCGATCGAAAGATCCCATAGGTCCTGCTCGGACGAATCGGCTCGCGCACCCCGAGCAAGAAAGCTGAACACATGCGACATAAGCGCCAGGTGTGTCAAAACAGGCAAAAACTGAGCCACAAGCTGTGCGTGAAGAGAAGCCAGACATCTTAGCAAGCACCCACAATTCTCCTAAGCCAGAGCTGGATTGGCGATGCGTTGGTCCACAATTTGTGTCCGCCGCGGTGCACTAGCAAAGAGCGAACAAAATGCTGCACCGGTAACTTGTCGACCGCAGCCAAAGGGCTGTTAAAACTCACAAGTCACCGGACAACGTAAGACGTAGCCATTCTCATTATTGTTGCTTGCACTCTGGCCAGAGGGCCATCCGAGCACATGAGTCATTACTTGATTTGGACATTGATGGTGGCGTGTAGTGAACCAGAATTTGGCATCGTTCAGAAACTATTTTCCCAAAAACGTGCCGACATAGGCCGCCAAGTACGTAACAACTGGTCCTGATGGACCAGCGCATTTTCGGTTTTCGAGCAGTGACTGGCTTGAGTCCTTGCAGCCTGCGTATGTCCAGATTGCGCAGCTGCAGTATCACACATGAATACTGGAGAAGTTCACACGCCAGCCAACATGGCTGCTTGTGTGTGTGCGTGTGTGTGTGTCACACCTTGTCAGTAAGGCTAACTTTCTGTCGTTTCTCATGAACACAGCAGGGGGGGCCGGACATGTGATTTTTGGCCAGCCCAACGAAGGGGGCCATTGCACGTGCTGACGCAGGGGAAAAAGCTTCGCTGTGCAACTGCTGTAATACCATGTAACACCTTTAACCGGGCAGTCGCCCCTGACCGCTCGTTTCGCATATACGGGCATATTCGTTACAAACTCGGGATTCCGGGCCAGGCTGGCTAAACCGCTAAACGAAGGCAATAGCGACGCTTCAGCACAGAGCTCACTCCACGAAGCCTTTACTAGTCAGCAACTCCCCTTGCTGGCATCGCCAGCTTCGCCTGGAGCTCAGTGGCCCGGCGACTTGACCCAGACAGACTTCCTCCGTACTGCACTATTTCATATTATTTCATCATGCACATCACACACAGCGTAACTCGTGCGACCGGATTCCGCACAAAGTTACACACGTCAGCTGGGAGCACGCAACACCAGAACTTGTTCAAAAAACAACATCGATGCCATAGATGATCGATGATTGACCCTGAGCGCTCAAGTTGCGACCCAACTGCAGCTACGCCCCTTAACGCTCCGTTCGGCAAATGCGCTCGAATGCGGGCCGCAACCGCGGCTGCAAGGTTGTGCGGTGTCACAGGTACTGTCATGGCAACCTAGCCGAGCCACAAACCTGGCAAGTCGCTTCAGTGCTACGGATGGGCTTTTTAGGACACATGAGAGGTCTCGGCCCGTTACAGATTCTGAACATACAGCTTGGCTCTATCTGGATACACTGACCATATGGTCGGAGGCTGCGGATGAATGCATAAGCAAGTATGTGTCCTTGCGTGTGTGTGTGTGCATGTGAGTGAGTGAGTGAGTGAGTGGGTGAGTAGGTGAGGAGGGTGAGGAGTGAGTGCGTGAGTGTGAGAGTGAATGAGTGACTGAGTAAGTGTGTGAGTGAGTGAAGAGTGCGTGAGTGAGTGAGCGAGTGTGTGCGTGTGGGTATGTTCGTGGGTGTGTGCGTGGGTGTGTGCGTGGGTGTGTGCGTGGGTGTGTGCGTGGGTGTGTGCGTGGGTGTGTGCGTGGGTGGGTGCGTGGGTGGGTGCGGGGGGTGGGTGCGTGTGGGTGCGTGGGTGGGTGCGTGTGTGTGTGTGTGTGTGTGTGTGTGTGTGTGTGTGTGTGTGTGTGTGGTGTGTGTGTGTGTGTGTGTGGTGTGTGTGTTGTGTGTGTGTGTGTGTGTTGTGTGTGGTGTGTGTGTGTGTGTGTGTGTGTGGTGTGTGTGTGTGGTGTGTGTGTGTGTGTGTGTGTGTGTGTGTGTGGGTGTGGGTGGGTGGGTGTGTGGGTGGGGTGGTGGGTGGGTGGGTTGTGTGTGTGTGTGTGTGTGTGTGTGTGGGTGGGTGTGGGTGTGGGTGTGGGTGTGGGTGTGGGTGTGGGTGTGGGTGTGTGTGTGTGTGTGGGTGTGGGTGTGGGTGTGGGTGTGGGTGTGGGTGTGGGTGTGGGTGAGTGGGTGGGTGGGTGGGTGTGCGTGTGTGCGCGTGTGCGCCTGTGCGCGTGCGTGCGTGTGTGCGTGTGCGTGTGCGTGTGCGTGTGCGTGTGCGTGTGCGTGTGCGTGTGCGTGTGCGTGTGCGTGTGCGTGTGCGTGTGCGTGTGCGTGTGCGTGTGCGTGTGCGTGTGCGTGTGCGTGTGCGTGTGCGTGTGCGTGTGCGTGTGCGTGTGCGTGTGCGTGTGCGTGTGGGTGCGCGTGTGTGCGTGCGCGTGTGCGTGTGCGTGTGTGCGTGTGCGTGCGCGTGTGCGTGTGGGCGCGTATGCGCTTGCGCGCGTGTGCGCGTGTGCGCGTGTGCGCGTGGGCCCGTGGGCCCGTGGGCGCGTGGGCGCGTGGGTGCGTGGGCGCGTGGGCACGTGGGCACGTGGGCGCGTGTGGGGGTGTGGGGGTGTGGGGGTGTGGGGGGGT